TCCCTCTCTGCCTCTCTCCCCTGCTCACACTTTTTCTAAATAAATAAGTAAACTTTACAAAAGAGCAACACTGTATGCCGACACGACAGGCAGGAACACGAAAGCACTGAAACCACAATTACAGATGCATTTCCCCTGGTCATGTTTACGCTGACAGCTTGCGAGGTCCTGGTACCCCCTTCGCCTCTCCTCTGTCGTCCCCGTTCCTGGCCTGTTTTCAGACAGGTGCAGGCAGAGTGTCTCCGGAGCTTTCTAAGCTGATGTTCTTGCTTCTTTCACAAGGACACAAATTTAGCGGAAGAGTCGGAGACAGGAAGTGATGACCAGTCTCCCTTGGTTTCTCGCTGACTCTCCTTGTGCCACAGGCTGGCGTTGGGCTGTTTCCCGCTGAGGTTCCCCCACCTCTGCTGGGTGAGGGCAGGTGCCCAGGCCTCTGCGTCTGCTGCTGAGAATCGTGTCCGTCAGGGCGCCGTGCATCCCTCCCTGTGGCTGGTTTTGCTTTTCTGTCTTTAGTGGTTGAGGCCCTGGAAAACACTGGCAGGGTTTTTCAAAGCACGGTTAAATCCAGACCATATCCAACCGTCTGCGGGCTCGGCCCTGCCTTCGACGCGTGTGGAATCCATGAGCCCTGCCAGGGCGAGAGCGAGCACTGAGTGTGGGCTCCTGCACGCGCCTCCTCCCAGGACGCATCCGGGCAGCCTGGCTTTCTCCGCCTGGGCGGAAAGGCGAGCCTATGGGCCCCTCTGGCTGACGGCCCCACCCGCCAACACAGAGGTCACGGTGCGGGGGGTCACCTCCCAGTCTGGGTACGACAGACTGCGCCGAGCCTCCACCCACCAGAGGGCATTTGGGGACGTCGTACTGGGTCTCTAAAATCTGGTTTCCGTTTCTTCTGCTGAAAGAGCCCATCACGCCAGGTGCGCGGGCCCGTCTCTAGCGTCTGCGGGGACGTGCCACGGCCGCGGGTCTGCGGCTTCGGGCCGCCTCTTCAACCTGTTCCTGCCTCTTCCCTACAGATGTTGCCTTCATCACGACCGTGACCTTCGTGTGGAAAGTGTCGGCCATCACCATGGTCAGCTGTCTGCCGCTGTACGTCCTCAAGTACTTGAAGCGGAAGCTGTCTCCCCCCAGCTACACCAAGCTCACGTCCTAGGCCGGCCACAGTGGCAGCGCGGGGGCCGTGCGGGGCTGCGGGGAGGTCGGGAAGGGACGAGCCCGAGGGCCCGGGGCCCCCGCCGCCTGGACGCTCCCGGCCCACGTGGCGAGTCGCGCTCACCGTTGCTCACGACTGCGTTTCCGTGTCAAACCACTCGCGTTTCTTTCGAAAAGAAGCCCTACTTCTCCCACTGCTACTGTAAAGCATTCATCTGACTCTCGTGTTCTGAGAATTAAAGTGAAAGTTTATTTAGCATTTGGCCATTTCCTAACATTCAGATTCTTTCTCCGATGTCACGGTAGAGAAAGCCCCTTCGCTTAACCAGAATAAAGTCTAGACGCCAAACGCTGGTGTCTGTGTTTGCTGCCGATGCCTCCCCGCCGGTCACACTTCCCCCGCGGGGACTCGAGTTCCCAACGTGAAGGGCCGCGTCTCCACACGCGCTGCAGCCAAGCCGGAAGAGGGGCCGCGTCTCTGCACTAAGTCCGTGGCCGCCACCAGCGATGTGCTCTCGAGGGCATCGCCGCTAAGTAAACCCGCTTCTAGCGGGGAAACCCCCTGGCGGTCCTGTGCGCTCACAGCGCTGCCTCGCCCGCCCCGACCCTGCTGGTCCCGGCGCTGGGGTCGTAAGCGCGCACACGCACCTGACAGCGCCCTGCTAGAACCAGCCCGTGTGTTTCCGGCTGCCATTAGGGTTTTTGCACCTACGCAGCTGTGTTTGTCCAATGGGGTGTTTTTCCAGGCGCGGAGGTGGCCCCTGCCACTCTGTGGAGCACCCTGGGTGTCACTGGTGACCCCCGACCCCCCCGCCCGTCACCAGGAGCATACTGGGGGGTTCCAAGCGGTGGGCTCTTGGCTGGAAGGGCAGCTCCTCCCTGTGTCCTGAGGCCGGGTGCCTCCCATGCCAGGTGGTTCCGGTCTGTTCTCACCCTTCAGCTCGGCCACCCCCAGCAGGTGGCCCGTCCCCCAGTCACCACGGGGTCGTCAGCCACCGGTGGAGCCGCACGCCGTGTCCTCGGGCACCACCCACCTCCTGGGCGTCCCTGCAGTGTCCTCCCAAAGCAGAAAGGCAGCAGCTGCGAGGAAGGAGCGCGGGCAGGAAGCTGCTTCGGTGGGGGGCCAAGCGCTGGGGCCCCCGCTGCCGGCCCGACGTAGCCCTCTCTGGCCGCGGAGCCGGCCCTGCGCGCTGTGGGCTCAGGTCCTGAGGCCACGGCGCACGCAGCCTGTGGCGGGGACAGGAGCACACCCGGAACTTGGGGCATCACAGAAATCTCAGCCCGTCCACAGCCAACGGCCCGTGGGACACGCAGGATGTCCCAGAGCAAAAGGGGGGGGGGGGTCCGCCTCGGAATTGCTTAGTTGCGACGTAACGAGTTGTGAGCGACCAGAAACCTGAGAAACCAGGAAGCTCTGGGAATGGTTCTGCAGAGTGATTTAAAGATCCAGAGGGACGCCTGGGTGCCTCAGTCGGCTGAGCGTCCGACTCTGGGTTTCGGCTCAGGTCATGGTCTCTCACGATTCGTGGCATCGAGCCCTGAATCGGGTTCTGCACGGACAGCACGGAGCCTGCTTCGGATTCTCTGCTCCCTCTCTCTCTCTCTCTCTCTCTCTCTCTCTGCTCCTCCTCCACTCACACTCTCCCTCTAAAAATTTTAAAAATAAAAATAATGAAAATAAAAAAATACAGAAACTTCTCCAAGCCATGGGGTCTTAGCTGGATTCTGACTAAGCAGATGGAGTTCGACCTGAGTCCTGCGAAATGAAGGCGCATTACGTCCGAATTAGACTCCGAGCTCAAGTGTGTTTTCATCTGCGAAGGGGGAGCGATCTCTGCCACCAGGGCTGAGTGACGTGACAGTGGCAATAACAGAAGCTCTCCGTGGGCGGCTGTCACACGGTGGTGGCACGGGCGATATCTGTGACTCCAGCCCTCTGCCAGGTGACGCAAGGCAGCTGCCCCCGGAGGGTCACCCGGTCCCAGTCAGGTTCACGTTTACGAACCAGCCCTGCAGAGACGGGAGGGCGCTGCACAGGGAGGCGGCGGGCAGTGACCATCCCCGCGCTTGGTCCCCGGCCCAAGTCGCCAAGCCCCGTCAGCTCCATTTGTGAAAGCTGTCCGACCCTGTAGGACTTCAGGGTTGCTTTGCCGCCTTTTGGGCGTGCAAAGTGCGTTTTAATTGTCTGATAGTGTAGCCGTGTTCTCCCTGTCTGCTGTGAGCCACACGCAGTGCGTGGTGTCTGTTGTGCGCACAGTGGGTGTGCACGGTGCCCGTGGTGGGTGCCCGCGGGGCAGGTGCTGCCCTCGCAGGGATGGGCCTGCTCCCCTGCCGAGGAAACTCGCCGAGGCGGAGAGGCGCGCTCCGGAAGCCAAGGGCGGGTGACCGGCTCCTCCGAGGAGGTGAGGCCCACGCTGAAAAAGAAGCGACAGCAGCTTTCTCCAGGCCCTGCGGTGGGGGAGCTCAGCAGGCCGGGGCGGGACCAGGGGCCACAGCTGGCAGGCAAGGCCGACTCGGCACTCGGACTGTGTGGCCCAAGCACCTGGACAGATCACGAACGCTTTGGGCGGAGGACGACACCGCACATCAGACAGCCCCAGGAAATTCGATGAGCGAGAGGAAAGGGTCTCGAGGTCAGGAGGTGGAGGGCGCGTGCGGAGGCCTGTGTGTTTACAGACCGTGACAGGCGGTCAGGACAGCCCGCCGCCAGGGAATTTAGACCAGTTCATGTTAATGAGGAACATGGGCACGAGAGGGGCCTGGTGTGAGGAGGTGCTGAGTGTTTTACCCCAGTGCCTCACCGCCACTGGAGCTCTGACGCGTGCAGTAAGGTGGACAGGCGGGTGACGCGGTGGGCAGGTAGATGAATGGACAGGTGGGAGAAGGGGTGGATGAAGGCACAGTTGGGTGCATGGATGGATGACAGGGTGGGCAGGCAGGTGGGTGGGTGGCCAGGTGGATGAGTGGAAGGATGGGCGGACAGGTGGGTGAACGGACGGATGGGAGGCCAGGTGGATGAATGGACGGATGGGAGGCCAGGTGGATGAATGGACGGATGGGAGGCCAGGTGGATGAATGGACGGATGGATGGACAGGTGGATGAATGGACGGATGGGAGGCCAGGTGGATGAATGGATGGATGGGTAGATGAATGGACAGATGGATGAATGGACGGATGGGAGGACAGGTGGATGAGTGGAAGGATGGGTGGACAGGTGGGTGAACGGACGGATGGGAGGCCAGGTGGGTGAATGGATGGATGGATGGATGGATGGACGGGTAGATGAATGGACAGATGGATGGACACGTGATGCAAGGACGCATGGATGGACAGGTGGATAAATGGACGGATGGATGGACAGGTGACAAATGGACAGATGGGTGGACAGGTGGATGAATGGACGGATGGGCAGGTCGGTGGATGCCCTCTACAATTTTGTCCTATTCCAGACAAGCACCTATTATCACGTGTTTTCCTCAGTATTTCTGAATATTGAGGGCTGAGCTGCGTTAGCAAAGCCTACAGACTACACCCCAAGGAGCCAAAGCAGATTGCAGAAGTGGCCACCTGTTCCTTGCTGCTTAGGCCAAAGAGGCCCCTCGTCGAAGTGGGATGGCCCTGGAGTGACTGCCTCGGACCCTGTTCGTCCTGTCCTGGCTCTGGGGGCATGAAGGCTCAGGGTCATCGGGCAGGGGACCCCCAGTGAGGAGTGGACTCCCACTTGTGGAAGGAGGCCACGACTCCCTGCACCTTGAGCCTCGTTGGGAGGCCCCCGTGGGCTCTTGTCTCCCCCCTGCCTCCCGCATCACTAGGGAGCCCAGGCTGCTGTTCAGGGACACAGGTCAGGGTCTGCTGCCCTTGTCACCTGGGCCCCCGACCCACAGATCTGCCTGCCTCACTCGGCGTCACCACATCTCACCTGAACGCTGCAGACTCAGCCCAAGGGGCCGGGCCCCAAGCAGATGCCAGCACCGCCCCCCCCCACCACCAAATTCCTCAGGCTCTGAGGACGAGGAAACCCACAGAAGGCCCCCTGTGTCCTCCAGAGGACATGCTTCCCCCGCCCCAGAGATGGGGTCACCTCCCTCCACCCCAGATCGTGTCCACCTGACGTGCACCACAGCCAGTGCCTGTGAGCAGGTGGGTCACCCTGGACGGCCCGGGCTTGACCGAGGCCCTGCCCTCCTCCCTCCCGGACTTCCATCCAAGGAGGTTGTGTCCTGGGATTCCTTCGGTGGAACTGGAAGAGAAACAGGTAGGCACTGAGCCGGTCTGGTGTTTGGGGGCAGAAGGACACCTGAGGTTAGGGCTGTTCAGGCCACCGTCACGTCCCCGTCTACCAGTTCTCCCAAGTCCTTGGGGGTGGGCTGGCCTGGTCCCCCTCCCGGGACAGCAGCGGTCACCTGACGCCTCTGAAAACTTTTGACAGGGTGTGTGGAGAAACCAAGGCACAGGGAAGTTTAAAGTGGTTTCCCCAGAGCCTGGGAGGCCGTCCGCTCCTTTCTGGCATTAACCTGAGGCCGAGGTGCACGAAGATCCCTCCCCAGACGGGGCGGTGGGGACTCGAGGGGAGCCGTGTTGCCCCCCCCCCCCAGGGCGAATGGTCAGGCTCCGCCCCTCCCGGTGGCCCCCTCCCAGGGCGGCAGCCACCAGGACAGACAGAGCGCGGCAGGCTTTCCCGCCAGGACCCCGCCGCCAGCCTCCGGGCCGCCCTGTGTCCCCACGTGACGGGGCTTTCTGGCACATCTCCTGAGAGCTTTCGTCTTGGAATAATGTCGGACCAGCAGAGGAGCTGCAAAGACAGTCCGTCGGAGCCCCCCTTTCCTCCCGCAGCCTCCCCGGGCCGAGCGGCCTCCCCTACAAGGGCTCTGTCCCACTGGCCCAGAAGGCCCCTCGTGTCCCTCCGTCCTGGCGGCAGGGAGTGCCGGGTGGAGTTGTGGGGGCCACTCTGAGGCAGGAACGTGGCACCGACGTGCGTCCTCGGGCATCTCCAGCCCCCG